CCCCCCCCCCCCCAGCTCCCCAGTCTCAGGGGAGACTGAGATCCTGGGACCATGACCTGGCCCCCAGACCCCGAGCTGTGGCCACCCTCCCAGCCCCGTGGAGTCTGACCAGCTGGCCCTCCTCCCTCCCGCCACAGGCCCGTTCTTCCGCTACCGCACGTACCTGGACTGGCTGGAGCAGCCGTTCCCGGGGGCCGTGCCCAGCCTGCGGCCCCTCCTGCGCCGGGCCTGGCCCGCCCCGCTCTTCGGGCTGCTCTTCCTACTATCCTCACACCTCTTCCCGCTGGAGGCCGTGCGTGAGGACGCCTTCTACGCCCGCCCGCTGCCCGCCCGCCTCTTCTACATGGTCCCCGTCTTCTTCGCCTTCCGCATGCGCTTCTACGTGGCCTGGATTGCCGCCGAGTGCGGCTGCATTGCTGCCGGCTTCGGGGCCTACCCCGTGGCCGCCAAAGCCCGGGCCGGGGGCGGCCCCACCCTCCAATGCCCACCCCCTAGCAGGTCAGGCAGCGGGAGGGAGGCTTCCCAAGACCCGGCAGGCCCCATCACCACTGGCTGGCCCTGCCCCTAGCAGGGAGGGGAGCGGGGGGGGGGGGGGGGGTCACCACCGGTTGTCAGTGCAGTGTTGCCCCTTGGCCGCCACAGCCCCCCTACCCCTGTCCTAGGGAGCGGCCCTCCCGGGTCTCCCACTGCCCTTCGTGCTACTGCTTGTCACCTCTTGGGATGGCCGACCACTCTCTGTTGCTAGGAGAAGGAAGGTGGTCTCTTAGCGACCATGTGCCACCCTCTGTTGCCATGGAAGTGTCACCCCGGTAACTCGATTGTTCCTGGTTGCTTGGGTTACCATCTTTGTGCTGGGCTGGGGCCCATACTTTGTGGCTAGGGAAATGGTTCCCTAGCAACTAGACTGCCCCTCTTTGCTAGAGAGGCACTTCCCTAGCAACCATGGCCTGCCCCTTCCTGCCACAGACTTGCTTTTCATTGCTATGTAAATGGAACCCCCTAGACTGGCCTTTGTGGCTAGAAGCCAGCACACACACACACCCCCAACCATGGGATGTACTGGCAGCCTGAACCTTATAAGGAAATAGCATCCCTGACCCCGCTGCCCTCTAGCTGAGGGGACACCACTCCTAGCCACTGCAGGTCGCTTTCCTACCGTTACCAAGGATGTACCCTGGTAAGGATGGATTGACCTGGTTAACAGTGCTACATCTCCGTCCTTGCTAGGTACAACATCTCCTTAGTTGCTAGGTAGGTCACACTGCCACTAACTAGCGGCGTCTTGTTGCTAAGGAAGTGTTGCCTCTATGTTGCTAGGGAAATGATGCTCCCAGCAGCTGGGAATGGATTGCACCACTGTTCCAGGCAACCAGGGGTGGCCTTCTGCCTGGGGCTAGGGCTGGGGGGAGCAGCCCATCAATGTAAACTATGAGTTCCTCCTTGCTCAGTTTGGGCCATCCCCTAGTAGTCACGGACAGCCATTCCATTAAGGGGGAAGCAGCACCCCACAGGAATTTCAGCCACTGCCCTAGTAACCATGGGTGGACCTCCAGTTACTAGAGAGGGTGTCTCCCGGAAAAGGTCAAGCAGGAATTGAAGGCTTTTCTAAATCTGCTGGACCCCACTCTTAATAGATGGTTTCGGTCCCATTAATGGAAGCCACCAGCGGTTCCGGTAGGTGCAGGATGTTCGCCACTGCTGGGGGTGTTGGCAACAGGGACTCAGGAGCCACCGTGTTGCTGGAGATGACACATCTTAAACAATCATAGGGACCAGTTGCCAGGAAAGGCCTTTCTAGAAGCGTTTCTAAACATCCTAGGCCTTGTTGCTAAGGAATGCACTTTCCCTAGCAACAGAGACGGCAAGGAGTCACGTGGGTCCAGAACATCTCCCTAGCAACCGCAGACCCCCTCGTTGTTAGGGATGCTCCTTCCCTGGCAACCACAGTGTCTTGACTACTCAGAAGGGACCACACTTGGGGGCTTCTCGGAAGGTAGTGAGCTTGGTTGCTAAGGAAGCGCCTTTCCCTGGCCTCTGAGACCAGCGAAGGGCCAGGTTGCTAAGGACTCGTAGCTTAGCAACTGTAGCCCCCACAGACCTTTCGTTGCTGCTGCAGCCCCGTTACCAAGAGGAGGAGGACCCCACTGTCGGTGAACTGCGCCCCCCACCCGTCTTCCTCCCCGAAAAGGCTCCTCCTGGGCTACCCTCCCCTGTTGCCCTAGCAAATGTGGCAGCCAGAGCTCTTGCCTGGCCGTGAGCCCCTCCTGAGCGGCCGGGGCTGGGACAGGAGCCAGCGTCGGGAGGGGGCCTGGCTGAGCTGCATGTCTGTCCCCCACCCTCACCCCCCCCCCCCCCCCCAGTCCGGAGGAGGCGGCTTCCCTGGAGTACGACTATGAGACCGTCCGCAACATCGACTGCTACGGCACTGACTTCTGCGTGCGGGTGCGGGATGGCATGCGGTACTGGAACATGACGGTGCAGTGGTGGCTGGCACAGTATGTCTACAAGAGCGCGCCCACCCGCTCCTATGTCTTCAGGTGAGCCAGCCTGCCCTGGGCAAGCACGCGACTACACCTCCCGGTAGCCTCTGGGGCTGCCCGCCGGCCCCGCGGCCGGGCCTCCGCCCCTGAGGATCATGGGAGTTGTAGTGTCTTGAGACTCTTGCCGTGCTCTTGGGTAGATCGTTAGCGCTCCTACCCCGGGCCTCAGTTTCCACCTCTGTAAAGTCAGCCTTCTTCGACAGAAGCAGTGTACTGAATCCTATGGACTCTGGCCAGACTTTCGGGAATCTTGGCCCTGCCCAGCTAGGGAGAAACCTTAATGAGTTAGCTAACCCGTGTTTCCTCAACTCTTGAATGGGGGTAATGCTGTTACCTGCTGCATAGGTTGATGTGAGGACGAAGCAAGATAACGTGTGACGTGTCCTCACTGTGGGGCCCGCCAGGTGAGTGGTCACTGTATGTTAGCTTTTTTCCCACCACTTCTCTGGTGTTTCGCGAGTGGAAGCTTTGTGCCAGACATTGTGATGTGTGCAGCCTTAGGATGTAGGACTTACTATTCTCATTTGTTTTTTTTAAGATTTTATTTATTTATTTGACATAGAGACACAGCGAGAGCAGGAACACAAGCAGGGGGAGTGGGAGAGGGAGAAGCAGGCCTCCCGCCGAGCAGGGAGCAGCCCGATGCGGGGCTCGATCCCAGGACCCTGGGACCATGACCTGAGCCGAAGGCAGACGCTTAACGACTGAGCCACCCAGGGGCCCCTTACTATCCTCATTTTAAAGACAAGGAAATGGAGGCTCAGAGAGGTTAGGTAACCTGCCGAGTGTCCCTCAGCCTTCCCAGAGCCAGCACATGAGGTCAGGTTGCAGCTGACACATTCTCGTCATGAAGCCGTTCCCGATGGCCACTCGGGAGCCAGACTTACCTGGGTGCCAGGTCGGGGATGAGAAAGTGCAGAGATGAAGCGTCATGCCAAGGTGGTGGCTGGGGGTGACAGAGGGCACGGAAGGGCCAATCCTGGGATGGGGAGACCGGGCAGGAGGCAGTTTCAGGAGTGGGTTGGATGGAGGGAGTCAGAGGGGTTTAGCGTCACCGACCCCGGGGTGACTGTCATGTTCAGCTGCGGTTACTGGATAGGTCATTAGTTGGGTGATGCTGGCGCCTCAGGAGAAGGTCGGGGTAAGAAGTGGACACTCAGCATCAGGTAGAGGTGATCCTGAAGGCTCCGGGGCCGAGCATCGGGTCAGAGCCCAGGGCGCTCCAGCGTTTACATTAGAGGTTCTCAACTGGGGGCCATTGTCCCACACTCCTGCGGGCATTCGGCAACATCTGGAAATGTTTTTGGTCATAACTGGGAGGTGCTACTAGCATCCAGGGGTTAGAGGCCGGGGGTTAGGGGCTGCAGAGGCTCTTCCACAGCCTGGGAGGCACGGGACGGCCTTCCTGCAGCACAGAATGACCCAGCCCCACATGTTGGTAGTGCTGACATTGAGAAGCCCTGGGGCGGACTGGGGACAGAGCCCTTGAGCCAGGACGGCCAGCAGGGCGTTCCTTCCCAGGTGGGAGCCGGGGGCCAAGTGCTTCAAGGCTGAGGGAGCAATCTCTTGTGTTGCGTGACGTCAGGAGCTTCAGTAGACAGAGGCGTGGGCTTGGGGGCGTGGGATGAGGAAATCTCCAGCAGCCTTGAGGGGAGCAGTTTGGAGGGCGGAAGTGAAAGCCAGCTGGAGCGGTTGGAGGGAGGATGGGAAGGGGGAAGGTTCGAAGGGGAGCATGGTTCTCCGGAGAGTGAGCTGCACAGAGGAGCGGCCAGATGGCCCACAGAGTAGGGCTCAAGCCCAGAGCTCAGGTGTGCCCGTGAGGAGTTGTGGGTGCCCAGGGCCAGTCCATGTGCGTCTCACTGCCCTGCTTCTCCCTGTTGGGACCATCATTGAAATGCTCCCAGCCCAGAGAATTCTTTCTTCACCACAGGTAGGAAAAGAAAGTTTGGTTCATGAACCAGCGTTAAACCAGGCTGTGATGCATGCTGCAAGTAACCCCCTAGGAAGATGACCAAAACGGAAAAAAACTCACCTTTTTATAGACCCACAGACAAGGAAGAACCCCCATCCCCACCCCAGGCCATAGTCCATGGCAGAACCTGCTGTGATTTCTGTGTCTTCCATGGAAATGGGGACCATAGCCTGCATTTGTGGGTCTTCCACAGAGAGCATGTTTGGGTTCGTAACAATAGGGAAATGTAGCTGGAGATTTCTGAGTCTTCATGAATCAGAAATTATACTGATCCCCAAAAAGAAGTTGCCAGGGGCTTGGGTTCGTGGGTCTTAAGGAAAGATGTGATAAGCAGGGATTAATTGGGTTCCTGAAGAGAGAGTAGTGACTCCTGGGTCTGAGGGAGGAGGGCTGGGGCCTGGACTCCTGGGTCTGAGGGAGGAGGGGGCTGGGGCCTGGACTCCTGGGTCTGAGGGAGGAGGGGGGGGGGGGCTGGGCTCCTGGGTCCTGAATCTCAGCCCCTCCCCCAGGAGCGCCTGGACCATGTTGCTGAGCGCCTACTGGCACGGCCTGCACCCTGGCTACTACCTAAGCTTCCTGACCATCCCGCTGTGCCTGGCGGCCGAGGGCCGGCTGGAGTCAGCCCTGCGGGGGCAACTCAGCCCTGGGGCCCAGAAGGCCTGGGACTGGGTGCACTGGTTCCTGAAGATGCGTGCCTATGACTACATGTGCATGGGCTTCGTGCTGCTCTCCCTGGGAGACACACTACGGTATTGGGCCTCCATCTACTTCTGCATCCACATCCTGGCCATGGCCGCCCTGGGGCTGGGGCTGGCTCTGGGTGGGGGCAGCCCCAGCCGGAGGAAGACAGCACCCCAGGCCACCAGCCTTGCCCCAGAAAAGCTCCGGGAGGAGTAGGGAGGAGGCGGCTGCCGCCCCGACACTCCCTGGGCCCGTCAGTCCAGCCACCACGCTTTTGCCTGGGAATCGCGGGCACCAGGCTGCTGTGTCTTTTCCCAGAAAGAGCTGGATTTGGCTGAGGGCCTGGGGAGGATTCTCATTCCTCAGCTCTGCGCCCCCCCCATGCAGCAAGGCGGGGCGGGGGGTGCCCTCCCTGCTCCCCTGCCCTCTGCCCGGAGGGCTCAGGAGGCTGTTTTCCCTCCTGGAAAGTCAAGGTGTTGTCCAGAGAGAAGCCCCCCCCAGCAGGGGCCCCTGGGCCACAGCGTTTCCCCGTCAGATTCCCCTTTTCTGGCCCCACGGTGTGGGGCGGAAGCTGCCTGGAAGGTTCTGGGAGTGGGAGACCTCTCTGGAGGCCTTTGCCCGGCGTTCGTAGAACAGTGTTTCCAGCCTGGCAGGGGACATAACCCTCCCATTTCATAGCGGGGAACTGAAGCACCAAGGAGCAGACCTTTGGACATGGTTCTTGCAGCTTCCATCGGAGCCACCTCAATCCCAGCGCTCCTGTCACCCTCTTGTCATTCTCTGGCCTAAAATAGGGCCAGAATGTGTGAACTCCCCCAATAAAATGTTTCACGAAGACCATCCGTGTGTCTGGGGGTGATGAGGTGTGGGGCTCCCGCAGCCACAAGGTGATGTGCTCCGGCATCCGGGCGTTTCGGTTCCCGGGAGACCTTCCGGAGCAGCCGCCCTGATACCTGGTGGCGAGTACTTCGTACTCCCCGCCCTGAGCCACCTGCTGGCCAGGTATGGACCTGCCCGGGTCCCTTCCTTCCCTGGGGCGGTCCCCGCCCAGCTGGCCCCTAGAGACGGAAACAGTTTCACCTGGGGCCATGGACGAGCGCCCGACGTGGGAACCGGAGGCCTGGGGCTCCTCTGGAGGGTGGCCGGCACCCCAGGAGGCCAGAGCAGGTGGGGCAGTGGGGGGGTGTCCAGCCCCTCGGGCTGGTGGGAATCCTGAGGGAGGCAGGGAAGGGAGGACTGGACTCCAGGGTCCAGAGGGCAGGAGGGGGAGGGATTCTGATTCCCGGCTTTTTGAGGAAGAAGGGAACCAGGGGCTGGGACTCCTGCGTCCTGGGGAGGAGTCTAGAGGTCCAGACTTCAGTCTTAGGGGAGGGGGGCCAGGGTGAAAAATCCCTGAATAAGGGAGAAAAGGAAGCTGAAGAGTGGGCTCCTCAGTCCTGAGGGAGGAGGGGCCTAGAGGGCCCACATTTGGGTGCTTGCAGAGGGGCCGGGGGCCTGGACCCCTGGGTCTGAGGGAGGAGGGGCCGGGGGCTGGACTCCTGCGTCTGAGGGAGGAGGGGCCGGGGGCCTGGACCCCTGGGTCTGAGGGA